TATTTCAAAATCATGAGCTGGGTTTTGATTTCTGTTTTGTTGGGTTTGTATTCTAATTTTGTCTTTTGTCTTCCCCATAAATTTTTCTAGATGACTTTTTTCCTCGTGAACTTTTATGGGCCTGGTATTCTCCTTCCATTAGTTCTTCCAGTAAAAGTTAATCTGCCTTACAGTTTTCTGGGTTTAAAATAGGCATGAGATCAGCAGACTTGCCCAAACCTAGCCTCGATCCATACAAGGAATAATTTTGTCTTAAATAATTTAGATGCCACTGTTCTTGGAACCAGCTGGTCTTCTGGGAGGAGGTCAGCCTAAGCTTTCTAGAGCAGTTCCCTTGTAACCTTATTAATTAATTATGCCTTAGGGAAAAGGATTAAACCAGTTTTTTAAAAAATCCTAATTTAAAAGATGAAAGCGAAACGCTCTTAGCATTGAGCTGTATAACAGGGCTATAAAAGTTCTTTTATGCATGTTAATCTAAATATAATTTTCCTTCAACAGTATGATTCATCCAGCCTTCCAGCTCTGTTACTCAAAGCGAGAACCCTTCTGGGAGCTGAAAACCACCTACAAAATATCAACCATCAATTAGAGAAGCTCCTTGACCAGAAAGACCAGTCTACTGAAATGTGACTATATAAAGACTAGTCCCCCTGCTCTTGCCTGTTGCCTTCTGATACTATACTTTTGTAAATAAAAATTCTTTGAGAAGTTAAACTTGTCTGCTTGTTCAGGCTGGCTAGTCACCAAAATTTACTAGTACTTGGTTCATAGTCATTTGGTTCAAATGACCATGTTAAGTGGCAAGCTGGGAGTGTGTAAGTGGTTTTAGAGGCCAGATCCAGACACTAGCCAATCAATCAGACACTGACCGCTAAGAGTTCTAACCTGAGGTGGCTGAGGGAGGACCCTGTCACACATCCGGAGTTCGGAGATGGGGCAGAAGGACTCTGAAGCCACCAAATCTCCAGCTACCCACGGAGCAGTTCCTCCTGAACCACACCCGAGGCCTGATGGAGCCGCTGCTGTGCCGACGCCAGGGGGGCCCCATGGAGAGAGAAGGGTAAGAGATGGGCACGGGGTGACGGTGGGAACCCCAGCCCTGACGCGGTGGCCCGTGGGAGGAGGACTAGCACGGGGGTGGGGGGGCACAGCAAAAAAAAAACCCCAAAAACAAAACATCAGTTTGAAGGACAAAGAGACTTGTAAGTGAAGGAAACCCATTTACTAACCTCAGAACATCCGCCAGGCTGTTGGGAAACTGCTGGCCCTGTGTGGGGCTGAGGGGCACCATTACTTACTGTCCCCCTCTGCCTGCGAGCCTGACTGGAGCAGGCTCCGGGCCCTCGGACCGCTCCTCTGGGGCTGGCGGCTGCAGGGCCGGGTGTGCCGGGACCCCCGAACCTGTGTACAGCCCAGCTGCAGCCAGTCCCGGGGCAGTGCTAGTGCAAAGGCCACCAGGACCCTCTGGCGTGTGCCCGCTGCAGCATCCGGCACAGAGGACCCGGGGACTGCCTGGGCCCAGCTATCCCGCCAAGGACTAGAAGTGACTACCATTTTAAAATAGACTGTTATATACAGGTCAACATATATGAACCTCATGATAACCAAAACCCTAAAATAAATAGACAAAATAACATGAAAGGAACCCAAACACTAAAGAAAACCATCAAACCGCAGGGAAGGGGCCAAGAGAAAAAAGGGACAGAGAACAACAAAAGCAACCAGAAAATGGTTAACAAAATGGCATGTTGATATGCTCCAATCAGAAGACAAAGTGTAGCTAAATGGATTTAAAAACTGACCCATCTATAGGCTGCCTACAAGAAACACGCTGCAGACCTAAACACAGACTGAGAGTGAAGGAATGGAAAAAGATATTCCATGCAAATGGAATGGAAAAAAAAGCCAGTGCAGCAATACTTAGACAAAATAGACTTTAAAACAAAGACTGTAACAAAGGACAGAGAAGGGCATTCCATTACGATCAGGGGTCAATACAAGAAGAGGACAGAACATTAGTAAACATCTATGTACCCAACACAGCACTTAAACGCAAAGCAGGTAATAACAGACATGAAGGGAGAAATTAACAATACAATAATAATAATACGGGACTTTAGTATTAAACTCCCACTAAATCAATGTCATCCAGACAGAAAATCAATAAGGAAACCCTGGCCTTAAATGACACATTAAACCAGAGGGACTTAACATATACAGAACATTCCATCCCAAAACTACAGAATTCACGTTTAAAGGGCACATGGTACTCTCCAAGAAAGATCACCTGTCTCAAATTCAGGCAAACTGGAAAAAATACAAACGAGAAGAAGCAACCTGCTACTGAACAACCAGTGGATCAATGAAGAAATTGAAAAGGAAACTGAAAAATACCGTGGGACAAAGAAAATGGAAACAACCTTTCAGAATCTAGGGGACACAGCAATAGCAGTTCTCAGAGGGAAGTTCATAGTGCTACAGGCTTACCTCAAGAAGCAAGAAAAGTCCCAAATAAACAATCTTTATACCTAAAGGAGCTAGAAAAAGAAGACCGAACAAAGTCCAAAGTTAGCAGAAGGAAGGAAATAATACACATTAGAGGGGAAATAAATGGAGAATAAAAAAAAGAATAGAAAAGATCAGTGAAACTAAAAGCCGGTTCTTTGAAAAGATAAAATTGATAAAACTCTAGCCAGACTTGTTAAGAAAGAGAGAGAAGGGCACCAATAAAGTCAGAAATGGCTGATACCATAGAAATTCAAATAATCATGAGATTACTAAGAACAATTATACACAACAAAATGGACAACCTAGAAGAAATGGATAAATTCCTAATACACAATCTTCTAAGACTCACTAAGAAATAGAAAATCTGAATAGACCAATTACAAGTAATGAAACAGAATCAATCATTTAACAACTCCCAAAAAACAAAAGCCCAAGCCCAGGCGATTTCACAGGTAAATTCTACCAAACATTTAAAGAAGAGGTAGTACCTATTCTCAAATTATTCCAAAAAATTGAAGAGGAAGGAATGCTTCCATATTCATTTTACAAGGTCAGCATTAACTGATAACCAAAACCAGACAAAGACATCACAAAGAAAATTACAGGGCTGTGAGAGCGAGCCCCATGTTGGCGCCGGGCTGGGCGGGGGGCCTGCTTACGATTCTCTCTCTCCCTCTCCCTCTGCCCTTACTCCCCCTCCTTCTCTATATATATGTTGTTGTTGTTGTTGTTTTTTCCAGAGGACCAGTCTCTCTACCAAGGGCAATAAAAGCTGATATAAACAAATGGGATTATATCAAACTCAAAAGCTTCTGCATAGCAAAGGGAACAACAAAATGAAAAGGCAACCTACAGAAAGGGAAAAGATTTACAGATGTAAATCACACACTCTGTAAAAGGTTAATATAAAAAATATATAAAGAACTTACACAATATAAAAAAAATTTTTAAATGGGCAGAGAACTTGAACAGACATTTTTCCAAAAAAGATAAACACATAGACAACAGACATATGAAAGATGGCTCAATACCACAAATCAAAACCATAATGAAGGGGCGCCTGGGCGGCTCAGTCAGTTAAGCGTCTGCCTTCGGCTCAGGTCATGATCCCAGGGTCCTGGGATCGAGCCCCATGTCGGGCTCCCTGCTCTACGGGGAACCTGCTTCTCCCTCTCCCTCTGCCCCTCCACCCAGCTCATGTGCGTGCTCTCTCTTTTCTCTTTCTCAAATAAATAAAATTAAAAAAAAAAACAAAAACAAAAGTATCACACCTCACACCCATCAGATTGCTATTATCAAAAAGGTAAGAAATAATAAGTGTTGGCGAGGCTACAGAGAAAAGGGAACCCTTGTGCACTGTTGGTGGGAATGTAAGTTGGTGCAGCCACTGGGGAAAACAGTATTGAGGTTCCTCAAAAACTTAGAAATACCATACAATCCAGTAATCCCACTTCTTCCGGGTAGAAAATGAAAACAGTAGTTCAAAGGAATGTATCATACTTATGTTTGTTGAAGCATTATTGTTTCTTGAAGCAGCAAAGATACGGAAGCAACCTAAGTCTCCACTGATAGATGAATAAAGAAAATGAGAAGTATATACAAACACGTAGGAATATTACTCAGCCATAAAAAAGAATAAAAACCTGCCATTTGTAACCACATGGACTGAACTAGAGTATATTATGCCGAGTGAAATAAGTCAAAGACAAATTCCATATGACTACATGTATATGTGGAATCTATAAAACCAAACAAACAGACTCCTGGATACAAGAAATTGTTGGTTGTCAGAGGGAGGAGGAATTGGGGGGGGTGAAAAAGGTGAAGATGATTAAGAGGTACAAACTTCCAGTTATAAGTCATGAGGACGTAATATACAGTATAGGGAATATACAGTAATACATAATAATTGTGTGTGATGACAGACGGTAACTAGAACTATCATGGGGATCATTTTGTAACATATAAAGATAGCAACTCAGCAGGATATACACCTGAATAGGATACTGTATGTCAATTATACTTCAATTAATTTTTTTAATAAGATTAAGAGTTTTAACCTATCAACAGACATGCAGAATTAAGCTGATATGAACATAGACCAATTCTGGTCAATCAATAAGATTTCTTTTTTTTTTTTTTAAAGATTTTATTTATTTATTCATGAAAGACACAGAGAGAGAGAGAGGCAGAGGAGAAGCAGGCTCCCCGCTGAGCAGGGAGCCCGATGCGGGACTCGATCCCAGGACCCTGGGATCATGACCTGAGCCGAAGGCAGACGCTTAACCATGTGAGCCACCCAGGTGCCCCAATCAATAAGATTTCTAAGCAAATTTTCAATAAAACTGGCTTCAGTAAAAAACAGGAATTGAGAAGCAAAGTGATCAAACTTGGTTTTTATAAACAGGTTTAATAAGAAGTTACTATAACTTAATATGTTCAGGTTATTAAACTGTCTTCAGGCCAAATCACAGCCAGTTACGTAAGAGCTACTCTTGTAATACCTGCACGATTAGCTCGTCGGGAATTTCACCCTCTCCGCTGCAGTAACCGAGGAGACCGTGCTCTGCAGCTGCGGCTAGTTCAGCATCTTCAGCAGCTTCCACAAAGTCAGTCTCATCAAGGCCATTGTCCCAGTCAGCGTCGGAAACAGCACCTTCTGACAACAGACCCGACGGTGGCTTATGAGGACTCTTGGTGTCACTGTTCATTGTTTCAGCTGCTGTGACCTCTTCTTCCTTTGGTTTGAAAGGGGGAATGTAGGGGGGAGTGGGAAAGGGAGAGAATACAGGTGAGTCAAGGAGAGTATGTGATGCTCTCACTCTATAGTCAGTCTAGGTTAAACTAAGGTATTGGGTATAAGACCAGTTCTTGAGCAGACACTAAAATAAATATTCTGGATGATACTCTCTCCAATACAGTCGCCATGGGAATGAGTTCATTAATTCAAATGTCACTGCCACTGTAGCTCAGACACTCGAAACTAAATTTGGAAGTCCGTTCCCCGCCCCCCCCCCGCCCACCCTCGTCCCGTTCCTCTGGTACATTCTTTTCAATATACACAGATGGGGCTAGAGAGATGGTAGACTGAATTTTTTAAAAAGCAAATAGTCCAGCTGAAGGCAAACTGGAAAACCTATCTGCTATCTTAAAAGACTGATTTTCCTATTTATACAGTATTTTAAGAATTAACATGAATTTAAAAAACTGTTAAAAACAGGTGAGACAATTGTCAAGATAGGAGTATGGATTTGTACATTAGATAACAGTATTGTATCAACATTAAATTTCCTGAATCTAAAAACTCTACCATACTTAAGAATATCCTTAACCTAAATCTCTCTAGCTACATGCTTAAATATGAAGAGATGTAGGATTCTGATGGCTGCAAATTCCTCTCAAAAGATTAGTTATGGACCAAATGTGTTACCCCAAATTCCTAAGTTGAAATCCTAACCCCCAATGTCATGATATTCGGAGGGAGGCCTTTGGGGGGTGAGTAGGTCTTGAGGGTGCAGCCCTCATGACTGGGATTTAGTAACCTTATAAAGGGCCCCCAGAGAGCTCCTTCCTCCCATGGAGGGCCCGGCGAGGAGATAGCTATGACCCACAGAGCCGACCAGACACCAAATCGGCCAGTGCCCCGAGCTCAGACTTCCAGCCTCCAGAACTATGAAGAAAGAAACTTCTGTGGTGTATATGCCACCCAGTCTATAGTATTGTGTTATAGCAGCCTGAATGGACTAAGACAAAAAATCATCCAAAATAACAGTGTGTGCCCAAACAGCAGAGGGGGAAAACAAATGTGGCCAAGTAACATGTTAACGATGGCAAATCTAGGTGAAGGGAGAGCCCACTCTCCTTGGGCAACACTGCTATAGGGAAGAAAAAAAACACAGAAATGTTTAAAAAACAAAGATGATTAATGCAACAGAAAGCCAGGTAACTAACACTGATTGGTAATTCGTTTTAAAATACTACAAGCAAAAAAGCCAGAGGAAGCAGAAATGACAAAATATACACTGTTAAAACGATGTGACAGGTACATGGGTATTCATGAAGCTGTTCCATCTTTTATTAATTTTCTATTTTAAATAATAAAAAAAAGTTCTGCCCAAGCTGTGGTAATACTATGTACCAAAACTACTTTCAACTTGGCATTTTTGAGGTATTACTGGAAAAGCAGGAAAAGTAATTTTTAAAAATCCAATGAAACCACAAACATGCTTCAAAATAAGACTCCAAACATACAAGGATGACGTACACCTCCTCCTCTTAGAGGCAAAGTTTATTTTTACAAATTTAATTTTCTCTTGGTTATTTCAAGAACACTTTTTAACCTAATAGTTTACCAGGGAATCTGGCTATCAGCTATGTTGGTCCAGTTCCTACCATGTCTATCTTAGATGTATGAATTTTTTCCAGAGACATTTTTTAGTCAAATCAAATAGGCAGCAGACCATTATCTAGAGTATAAACTGAGCACTTAATCAGCCTGTAGCAGGTAACTTTTATTCTAACCAGAACACTAGAAAGGGAAAGGCTGATAGGTGTGGGAAAAAAGAACACTAAAATGTTCAGTCTAGAAAATAACACGATCAAAGAGTTAATAAAAAGTTCTCATAAATTATCAATAAGACCTCAGAGAAAAGTGGATAGAGGACAGTTACAGGCATTGATAATAGAAATACAAACAGGAAATCTGAAAGAAGTTCCATTTCCTCAATACATTAGGAAATGTAAACTAAAACGGCTAAAATACCATTGGCCAAATACTTTTGGCCAAATAGGGTGGTAAAGTCTAAAAGGTAAAAATAAACAATGTTGGCAAAAATGTAGGCTAAACCGGTATTTTTTTTTTTTTTAAAGATTTTATTTATTTAACAGAGAGAGACACAGTGAGAGAGGGAACACAAGCAGGGGGAGCGGGAGAGGGAGAAGCAGGCTTCCTGCAGAGCAGGGAGCCCGATGCGGGGCTCGATCCCAGGACCCTGGGATCACGACCCGAGCCG